TATATATATATATATATGTAATAAACAAGTTTTTGTTTTAGCAGAAGTGGTTTTATAAAACTATAAATACACATTTCTGCTTTTAAAATTTCCAAAATTGGCCCCATTCTTTTTAATGTAAAAATAAATGTAAAATACATTAAAAATATTTTGAAACAATTTTCACTCTGAAATTACTATTAAACTTCACAAATAATAACAAAGAAACGGCAAGTGAGTTAACTGAATTAAATGTGAAATTTTGAAGTAAAGCTTCTATTTTTTTTTAAATGTACTCCAATAATCTTTGTTTTATTTATAACTCTGAAAAATCTTCACACAACAGCATCCCACAAATGCTGTTAACTGAGCTTTGGGGGACACACACACACACACACACACACACACACACACACACACACACACACACACACACACACACACACACACACACACACACACACACACACACACACACACACACACACACACACACACACACACACACACACACACACACACACACACACACACACACACACACAGAGTCATCGTACTGTAAATGTTCAGCTTTGTTTTTGACCCACCTTCAGCAGAAGTCTGCGTGTTGCTGAGTACTTGGATTTGGCCTTTTTCTGCAAGAAGAGTGAGAGTTAAGCCGAGCTCATTATAGTCTGCGGTTCTGTTAAGACAGTCCTGCGTGTGGGTCTAATCTACACTCGCCGTGGTGCATACATGAACTGCCTGACCTGATTATTGTTAGAATCTCCAAATTGAGGGCTCAGTAGCTCAGTGTAGTTTTAAGCGGAGCAGAGCAAACGTACAGTGCAGATTAGTTTTTAACATGCTGTTCAGTGTCCTTACAGAAATACTGAGCAACTAAAAACCATTTAGAGCTGGATTAGGGTCATTCATTCAAGCGTTCACTGGACTTTAATATATAGAGACGCCACCACGTGCACTGCTACTTTCAATTGTTGCTAATCAGCATGGAAACTATTAAAAGGGAAACAATTAGGAGCACAGTGAGACAAAACTCTCATGACAAGTGTGGTGAGATTTCACTTACTGGTCTGTAAAGACATCATTGCATGTAAACAAACAAAAAAAAACAAAAACAAACATTTTATATATTTTACAGAAAAGTTAAATATTGCTTAAGATTAATTCTAGATGTTGCCAGGACTATATTATGTAGTTGCTATGGTGTTCTAAATGTTCAGCAGCTATATAGTATTATTTTTGATGAATTATTATTTATAATTGTATACATATTATGTTATTTTAAGAAATTACATAAGCAACAAATAGTACTTTATAGTAAGTTAATAAATAGGGTTGTAATATTTAAAAAATGTGTATTATTGATATTATTTATGAGTTTAAAAGAGAAAGATTTATTCAGTGGCTACATAGTATTAATTTCCCTAATTCCCTTCTCGAAGAACCAACTAATAATTCATCATAAGTCTGTGTATTATTATTTATTATTTTTATGTTATTTTTAGAAATTACATAAGCAACAAATAGTACTTCATAGTAAGTAAATAAATAAATAGGGTTGTAATATTTCAGAAATATGTATTATTGATATTATTTAAGAAAGTCTATAACTGGAAAGACTTCCCAAAAACCTGCATGGTTATTAGTTGAAAAACATTTTGCAAAAGAAAATCTCGAAACTCGAACTGCTATTTTAGTATCACTGAGATACCATTCAAATTTTTATTAATATTTTGCTTCAGTTAATATATTTATATTTATTTTTATATTTATATATTTTTGTTGGGTGTTGTATCATAGTTATTTTCTGTCTATGCAGTTATTATTATAAATATTTTAAATTTCAGTTTTAGTTATTTTAGTACATCCTGTTAAACTAAATTAAAATGAGAAACGTTGCATAAATAAGTTACAAGTAAATTACAAGTAACAATTTTTTGTGGTTTCAGTTTTCCATTTGGTTTTAGTTAACTATAATAACCCTGACTCACAGTTTATAATCATAACCTGGTGTAAATAAGCCGTTTTGGATGAGTATGACATTGACAGGGTCAATAGTCTAATAAAGATAACACTCACCCTTCAGACATGACTGCAATACACCGTGTGACCTGAAAGAGAGCCAAAATAATTGTGGTCACTATTTAGCACTTCATCATTCATATCTGCACACGTCAGGCATCACTAGTCAGAAGCCAAACAACTGTCACGGATTAAGAGTGACGCCACAGTCAAGGGTTGCTCCTAAAAAAGCGCGTTTAAATGCATTAAAGAAACCCGCCGTCCTTTGACATCAAAAGCTACAGATCCACTAATGCAATTCCAGTATGCAGACGGTTCACGGCACTGTACCGGACATTGGGTTTGGCTTTAATACCGGTCATCGCCGCGACTCAAACACGGAAGGACCGTGACCTTTACTCCGCCAGTATAACAAACCATCATCTCTCTGTGTGCATCAGCCGTTTTTCTCAGCATCTTCAAAGATACATTCATTACGGCTTGCGGTTCAAAGAGATCGGGGTTTCGACATTTTGGCTCCGTGGAGAAAACAGTGACCTTGACGGTCTCACTGAACGCTGTGAGCAGGGGTTAATGGGGTTCCTCTGGGGAAACAGTGCTGAGGGATGAATTTAGAGGCAGAAAGCATGTGGATAGGAAATGTAGACTGTTTTAGTGTAAATTCAACCCTGTGATGATGAGAGATACTGATGCCACAATGTCTGAAAACTGATAAATCTGGTGCAACTTACAAAGTGCATGGAATGAATCAGATGCAAGACAACGAAGAAGCATCCAGCGAATCTGGATTTTACAATCAAAGTGAAATATGTCATCTGAAATATATCATCTGAGGGGAATATTGGTTGTAAATGACAAACACTCAACAGCTTTCCTGCTACTGTTAACGTCCTTGGTATATCTGGCATGACTTTGGCAAGAAACAGTCGAGTCATTGACCTGACATTCATGTTTGACATTCTTCAGGACTTATGTATGACAATACATAGGAGTGAACAGTACTTTAGTATTGCATTTCCAAGGGGAAAAAAGTCATATTTTTACTACTTACTATTTTATTTTGAACTAAAAATTGGAAATTATGCAGGTTGACCTGACTTAATTTTTTTAACCAACAATACTTATTTGGTTTACAATTCAAATTATGTTCCTGTTAATTTTACTTAAATTTAATTTCAAACAAAGTCCATTCCAATGTGAAATGTAATTAGCCACCACTATGATCAGTCTCAGCAGTCACCACAGATTTAATTTTACTACCTTCACTTTTTATTTAGAAAGCCCTGACCATATATCTTGCATTAAAATAAATTAAATAACTGGAAAAGAAATAAATAAATAAATACATTTTTAAATAAATTGTTGAATACGTAAATGTACATTTTGCCTAACAATATATATTTTTTACTTTATTAATTTATTTATTTATTGACCACTCAATTAAGTAAATAAGTGTAATTAGCCACCACTATGGTCAGTCACCAAAATTTTAATTTGAATGAATAATGTATCTTTTAATTTATTATTTAGAATTCATAATAAGTCTTAAATAACTAGTTTCACTTTTTATATAGGCACCCCTGACAAAATATGCATTAAAATAAATTAGATCCATTTTTAAATAAATACATTTTAGGTTAAATAAATAAATAAATAGAGAAAAATAAAATTTTTATATAAATAAATGCATAAATAAATTTACATTTTGCCTAACAATAAATAAGTAAATAAGCATGTTTATGATGGTGTAAAGCCGCAACACCTGGTCATCTCTGACAGACAGATGGGACGATACACTGGCAGCATCTCACACAGTATACAGTTACAACCAACAAAGTCCTTCCAGAATGTCGTTCCAGTCATGCCCTGTCATTCACCTCTCGATATCCCACACTATTAGTCTGCATGCCCTAGTGTCATTAATCATACCGAAAACATGCGAAAATAAACAAAAACTCAAGCAAAGGAAGTGAACAACCCTTCCATTTGCTCAAATCAAAAGACTCTTCAACCGCTCTCTGCTCTCTAACTTAAAAGACCTCTGAAGTGGACCTTTGATTTCCACGGCAGACTGTTAGACATGACAAAAAAAAGCATCGATACAAGGCTCTTACCTTTGAAGAGCAGACCAGGAGCGTGAAAAGAGGAGTGATGGTACAGAGAGAGACGGCGTAGTGTGATTTTCAAAGATTGATCCGTGCCTCACCTCTCACATGTGAATGGCCAACCAAAATAACTCAGAGCGCAGCGCCTCCCATGAATGCCAGCTTTTGGCACACCATTGTTCTGGAATTGGACAAACACCACATTAATGGCTGATCTAGCACAGAAAATGCTATAGACAAATTCCCACGCATTAGAATTCATATATTCAGGTGTTTAAGATTCCCACGGCCACCCCAAAGACAACAAAGGCTCCGGGTGTCCTACTCCGGTCAGATATTAATGCACATAATTGTTTAATTGAGCATTTTATGGTCTCACGCTATAATTCACCAACGCTCGGAGGCCTGAATTTCAAACGAGAGTCCTAGTATTCAGTCGAGCGCGGCATTAATTACAGGTGAATATCACCTCGAGACTGCTGGGAAGAATGTGAAAATGGATCATAGCATTTAAGTCATAAAAACAGGGGGAAAGAGGCACGGCGAGAACATTTATCTCCATATCGGGGTCGAGAGGACAACTTTTGGTCTAAAAGCCTCAGATCGATAAATGCATGACCCCGTAATGCATTTTATGGTTCAGCGACGGACTACGTGGCAAACCTGGTTTGGCTTTTGCGTTCATAAAGAGGGGACAGTGGAAGGACATACACCTTTGGTGGAATCTGGAGTATGAGAGCGGCAGCTGTCGACAGGCACTGAGAGATGGAGTGAACACAAGCGTCCCATGACGCATCGCTCATGGGCTTTTGTCTGTGGTGTAGTGGATACATGTGCACCGCAGCACGTGCCACTGATGACGTTTATTTTTAGGAGGACTGGTTTTCACTCAGCGCTATCACGCTCTTCACTGTCATCGCTGATAACATGACCCCAGCCCTCAAACTCTCGAGGATAATACCGATTAATGACCTAAGCTGGTAACCGAAAGATTGAGAGTTCAAACAATGCAAGAATCGAGCTAATATTCCAGAAAACGAGAACGGGTCAAGACAAAGTTTGAATGTTGGCTTGTCAAATCCTTGATTGGGCATTCAAGTTTGGCCTGATGCAGGTGAGGTGTTCTGAGGCCTTGTTTACACCTGATTTTAACTCTGTCCCGGCCAGTTTTTTTTTTTTTTTTTTTTATGTTGCCAGCCACTGTCAGCATTTTTGATAATTTTCACTATATTTTCATGGCTCCAAGAATATTTTGTTGTATGAATATCTGAACATGCAATATGTCAAATGAAAGAACAGAGTCTTTATATTTACACAACAACAAAACATTTTATTCTATCAACACAAAAATCATATTTTTTATCAACACTGGAATGTGGGTAAATTTAATAGAAAAGCAGCATTTTGAACAAAAGTCGGAGAAAATTAAATCTACATCTGGATCAGATTGAGAACAGTGATCAAACATAGATGGAGTCGATCACTTCCATCAACACCTCCAAAGCTCGGAAAAATGTTCGCATTATTTTACATATGCATCTGCTTTAGGGCTGTCAAAAAAAAAATTGAATTTCGAATATTCGTCGAATTTAAAATAAAAATCCACATTCGAATGCAAAAACGTTGCATTCGAATTTTAGGTGTGCGTTAAGGAGGCAGCCTTATCAGTGGCGCACGAGATGCGATGACGATGTAAGTGTCGTTGCATTATAATGTTTTTGTTAGCCTATCCAGTTGAAGCCACTAGATGCGGCGCTGCTGCGTTGTTCATTAAAAATATTGCGGAAAAAGAGAACATCAATGCGGAGAAGATCTTGTTTACATCAAAACCGAAACCAAGCCGTTCACACAGAACACATATTTTGCGCATTTTCTAGAGGGACATCTATTACCGTTGCACTTGCATCTCACACAATGGAGCCGCATGTTTAGAAAGCCATGTAATATTAATGCAAGTTTAACTTTGAAAAAAACATATATCAATACTTTATGGCTGTTTTTTTCCCCCATCCCACTTTAGTTTTTCAGCCATTTTGACAGCCCTAATCTGTTTACATATGCGATCGCTTATTTCTGCTTCTTCTTTGCCGTGTTTTAATCCAGGGATTAAATACTCTTTCAGAAGATCTGTGATAGCGCCTCCTACCATATAACAGTGAAAACACAGAAAGCTGGAAAATTCTGTGGAAAGAGTTCAAATGCATTTTGGTCGATCGGATCACAAGTATTAAAGTTTTCATTTTAAACCAAAATCACGACAAAATTGAAATCCCGTTTGGGATGTTTAGGTCAGCAGGCAGAGAGGAGGTGGTCTTTAGTGGCTGTTCAAATGCATTCAACTAAATGAGAGTCTGAAAACAATCCAGTCAAATGCGTTTTCAACGACCTCTGGAAGTGGTTGAATGTGGACAACAAAACAATTTAGATCCTGTTTACACCTGTATTTAGAGTCATCCACTTGTGATCAGATCGAAAATAAAAACACATTTTAAAACCAGGTGTAAACAGGGCCTTAGTGGTTGCTACAGAACTGCTAGACAGGTAGTTAAGTTGTAGTTGTCGCAGCTGGGTGGTTGTTAAATTGATCTGGATGGTTGCTATGATCTTCTGGGTGTTTGCTATGGAATTTCTAGGCGGTATTCTGTTCTGAGTTCCTGCTAGAAATGCACACATTTACAGTCATTTGCTCATAAATTCTACTGTTTTATATTGGATGATCTTCTATCTAAACAAACCCAGAGGAAAACTGTATGACTCAGAAGCTGTCTGTATGACAGAAACTACTTAACATAATTTTTGAGTTAAGATTTGCAAAATTAGCTTGGTTGCCAAACAGATACTGTAGGATTCTGTGTTACGATATTTCTGTAATACAGCCCCAAAAGACTTATATTGAGTTCTCATATGTGTTTCACATACATTACCGTTTGGGGTCAGTAAGATTTTATTTATTTTTTGAAATAAATTAATGCTTTTATTCAGCATGGATGCATTAAATTGATCAAAAGTGACATTAAATACATTAACAAACTGTTATAAATCATTTCTATTTCAAACAAATGCTGTTCTTTAACTATTTTGGACTATTCAAGAATCCTGAATAAAATGCATCATGGTTTCCACAAAAATATTTCTATTTCTGAAGGATCATGTGACACTGAAGGCTGGAGTCATGATGCTGAAAATTCAACTTTGCATCACAGCAATAAACTGCATTTTAAAATATATTAAGATAGAAAACAGTTATTTTTAAATTGCAATAATGTTTCACAATATTGCTGTTTTACTGCATTTTTCTATCAAATAAATGCAGCCTTGTTGAGCATTTTTGATACATCTGTCATAAATATGCAAACCCGGCAAACATCATTAAGATCTCGTTTGGAACTTTAAAGGGGACAAACGCGAAATAACTAACTTTCCTCAAGAAAACAAAAGCATTGGACTTGAACGAAAGTACATTTGCTCTCCATCTCACTGCTGTCAAGAAGAAACAATTAGAAGATCTCATTTGTGATGTTTCTTTCCTATGAGAATATACAAACCCGAGATCTGTTTACATGAATTTATCAGCTCTTATATGCATGTTCCTGGATGAACACAAAAGCCGTCGTGTTTTTCATTTACAAAACAACAGAAAACCTCAGCAACGAACGGATCTGCGGCAGAAACAATATTGTGCTCCAAGAAATGTTATTACGGTGCATTAAAGTGATTTCCTACTCTTGGTTTGGGTAATAATGTCAATACAAGCCCACTGTGGGATTGCCCCCCTCATTATGATAATTTTGTGCGCGGCTTCTTAACCAACAGCATAATAACCCATCCAAACTATCATTAATGCATGAAATAATTCCCTTTTAAGTGACTCCAAAATAAGGGCCCTTTCGCTGCCAAGTATATTTCACGAATAATGTTCAGCTTGAATGTCCTGGAATTGTTATAGCCCTTTTTTTTTACCCCACCAACACATTATCAGACATGAACCTAAAATAATCAGCTGCTCATTCCGGCTACTGCTAATTTGCCTGCTTAATGATGTAAATTAACACCCACGAAACACACACACACACACACTCTAGGTTCTGAGTCATGTGATTCCCGTTTTAATTACATTGGATTTGCATAACGATTTCCCATTAAGCGATTCCCCAGCAACCCTACGCAGATCGGGAAAATTGCTCTCAAATGCCCACCCCATTAGCAACGAGCTTGACGTCACTCCCCGTCCATCACCGCCGGCATCCACTTGCCCAAAACAGGCCTATCCAGAGTGACGGAGTGGCTCATGGGTAATGAAGTCACTAATCACTTATAAGCGAGCGGGTTAGACGTGGATGGGACGGAAGGGTTTTCATGCTCCAAAATGTCAGCATGCAGGAGGTCTTGATAAATCCACTTCTAACGCGTGTGCCGTTACAAATCGCTTGCAAAATCCTGAACAGGCTGTAAATCATAGCGGGTGAAACCCCCGAACAGCAGCAGCAAGTCCATAGGCTTGCATATTAAACACCCGAGGTTGGTCTTCAGCCAAGAAAATGCCACCCAGCTGTATCTGTACAGTATAAAAAGTTTTTTTTTTCAAAGTTGCAAGTAAAACAAAGATTACTCGAGTGCATTTTAGAAAAAAATACAATTTCACATTTAACTCAATGGGCCCTATCATACACCCGGCACAATGCGGCGCCAGGCGCGACGCAAGTGCTTTTTACTAGTTTCAGCCCGACGCAGTTGTCATTTTCACGTCCTGCGCCAGTTGTTTAAATTTGTGCGCCCATGGGCGTGCTGGTCTGAAAACGAGGTGTGTTCAGGCGCATTGCTATATTGAGGCAACTGAAATAGACTGCGCCATTGACCAACTAATACCTGGTCTAAAGTCAATTTTTTTGTTATTTAAAGAGCGCGTTAGTATAGGCGGGTCCACAGCGCGCTTACACTCTGCTTATTACACACACACAGGGACGCACAGCAGCAAACAAACATGCCAAATATTAAAAATGAAAGGATTGCAATGCAAAAGGATTTGAAATGCAAAAGATTATTATTGTGTAGGTTAAATAAATATAAAAATGCCTACATT